GGGAGAAGGAAGGGCTGCTTATGCACAGGGAGATAGCTCAGGGGGCAGGAGTCCATGGAGGGATGGACACTGGGAAGAGGTAACTATGGGGAAGAAGTGGAAGGGGAGCTGTTGCATTGTGGTAAACTGTGGTCAATGACATGAGACAAAGTATATGTGAACTGCTGTATGGAAAGTGAGTTCGCTCTGTAAATCTTCACCCAAATCACAATTAAAAAAAAAAAGAAGATGAGGTCAGGAGAAGAAGGCTGCAAGGAAGCCGCTGGGAATTGCTATCAAAGGTAACACTGAACCAGGGTCAGGACCTTGACTCTCAAGGTCATGGGCACCCAGAGGCCCCAGGCCTAGTGCGCCCATTGGGACCGGCTTGTTTTGCCTGACGAACCACATTCCATGTGGAGGTATGTACTGGAACCAGTCCACTCACAGGATGCTGACGCAGTCCCAATGGGCCCGCCCAGCCCTGGAGCCCACCTTTGTCCCTAACGATCCCCTTCCTGGCCCCAGGAGCCTGTCCTTGTGTGAAATTCACTAGTCAGCAGAAGATTTTACTCAACCCAGGGATTAGCAAATTGTGCCCCCAGGCCAAACACAGCCTGTGGCCTGCTCACTGGAAGGTCAAGTGGATGACAGCTCCCGTGCTGGGGGCATCCGTGGCGGCTTCCTGTCTCAGTGGACGAGACACAGCAGAGGCGGCAAGGCCACGAGGACATTGAGGCACTGCTGGCCAGACGTGACGTGAGCTCGTGCCACCTGCCCTAGCCAACCAGCACCTGGACCCGAACGGCCTCATGGATGGCACCGCCCTCACACCCTGTCCAGACACACAGACAGCAGGACCAGGAAGGATGGGAGACTCAGTGTAGCACCCTGAGGGCAGATGGGGACCTGTGGAGGGTCTTTCAGGGGATGCGGTTAAAATGAACTTGTTGTTGGGGCTACAAGTCGATTCCATTCATAGAGTACAGCGGAATGAAACGCCGCCCGTTCCTGTCTCAGCCTCACCCTCTCTGCTGTAGCCGAGCCCATCGCTACAGCCACTGTGGCAACCCATCTCGTTAAGGCCCGTCCCCTTTTTTGCTGACCCTCCACTTTACCAAGCATGACATCCTTCTCCAGGGAATGGTCCCTGCTGACAATATGACCAAAGTAGGTGGAATGGAGTCTGGCCATTCTCACTTCCAAAGAGCATTTCGCTGCACTTCTTCCAGGACAGATTAGTTTGTTCTTCCGGCAGTCCACGACACTTTCAGCATTCTTCACCAACACCATATTCTAAGGCATCAACTCTCCCACGGTCTTCCTCATTCATTGTCCAGTTTTAAACTGAACTTAGTCCTGGAAGACCCTGCTGGGATCAGCCCTTTCCTAGTGTGAGTGCCTCATACCAGGGGTGGTCACTGTTGGAACCACGGGCCCTACATGGTCATGGCTCAGAACAAAGGTCTGTCCTGCTCAAGTGGAATGTCCACTAAAGATTGATTTGGGGGGGGCAGCAGTTTTCATTGTAAAGTGATTCCTGCTCATCATCACAGTTAAAATAATGTGTGGGGTGAAGCACAAAGTGAGTAGCACTGTGGCGCAGT